AAAGAGAAAGCCCGGACAAGTTTGATGTCTCGTTTGTTCCCGTGTTAGACGCCCGCTTTCATCTGGCCGGCAGTGCTGCTAATCCGGCTTGGTGCCAGACCCACTTTAGTACCTGGCCCACCTTACTAACAGACCCACTTTAGTAGCAGAACCACCTAAGTACCTGACCCACCTAAGTACCAGACCCACCTTAGTACAGGACCCACCCTAGTACCAGACACTTATTAGCACGAGACCCACCTTACTAACAGACCCACTTTAGTACCTAACCCACCTTAGTACAAGACCCACCTAAGTACCAGAACCATCTTACAGACCTACGTTATTACAAGACCCACCCTAGTACTAGCCCCACCTTACTAGACCCCCCTCCTAGTGCCATACCCACCTTACCAGACCCCCCCTATTACTAGACCCACCTTACCAGACCCACCCCCCTATTACTAGACCCACCTTACCGGACCCCCCCCCCCCCGTTGTACCACACCCCTCCTAGTGCCAGACCCACCTTACCAAAAATTGACCCCAGTGGCACCAATAAAATAAACACTTAGCACTGAATGTCTCACCGCGGGAAAGATTTGGTGTTTTTTTTTTATCTGGCAAGTCTCGGGTAGTAAATTCTACGTTCACGTCTGCTAGATTAAATCTGACGTCAGGCGTTAGAGCGGTGATAAAAATCCTGGCATCGATGGTTATTTTTATACCATTCAATTTTTAAAAAAAAAGATTTCTTTGTTAGTCGGTGTGTTAAAACTTTAAAAGCCTCTTAGGCAAATAAATGAAACTAATTAGTTCGTTTATTCGGTGCCATTTCGTTCTTAAAATTGTAGTTTTTTAAAATTAATTTCAATATATATTAAATCTTTCAACTGAAACATAAACCTGATACCATAGAAGAATGCTAAAAATGTAGGTGTGAAAAAAAGGAGGGGTGGTGTTCATATTTTATACTTTCAAAACAAAATTAAGAAAAACTTAAACTAATTTACAACCGGATGTTGATGAGTTGAGCCCCGATACATTTCGAACTTTAACTTTTTTATTGAACCCAAGCACGGCTGCGGTTTATTTCCTCTCTGTTTGATGTCAACACACCGTCTGGTAGGCTGCTCGTTACCAGCAGCGTGTGCACCCACGTCTGAACCCCAAGTGCACCCAAGACCTGACCCCGAGGTGCCTCAAGTCGTTGATCAAACGCTGCAAAATTTGGATGCACATATACTACTGCAGCTTCTCGGTATATATGCAACTAGCAAACTGTGAGCTATCTTACGCCATAGGCTGTTAAATACTAGCTGGGAGTAGAGATCGGATAAGGAAATGAGATCTGATAATTATTTTATGTTTATATGACAAAGATATTGAGGTTTCTAAAGACAGTATCCCAAACCTTAGGATACTCACATATAAACCCTGAACATCCCTACCCAAGCTCCTTTACCATTCAATCCTACCCCAACCTCCCATATTTGACAAAACAGAATTAATAGTTGCTGATGAGTGGCGGATCAGGGCGTGGACTGACCTGGCCAAAGACCAGGGCCCACAAATTTTAAATCTACATTTTTATCTCTGATATATATTAACCACCCCAGCTCCCTCCCAACCACTCTACAGAAAAACCCCAATCCACTTCTAACATTTCTAGCAGTTATTTGAAAACCTATGTTTTAAACTGTTAGCCTACAAATACTTTCCATTGGTAAAGTTTAAATTTAAATGTAATTTTTCTTTCAAATGTTTGCCACTTGAAGTAACTGATGTGAGAACAAGTATTTGAAGCACCTCAATGGCCGTCAATCAACGTTTACGGACGTCTTAACATTCTGCAGCTAATTCAATACAGCGTTACACGTCAGTTCCACGCCTACACAATTTAAGCCAGTCTTTCTGATTGGTCAATCGTTCACGTGATCAGGGTTAGAGAATAAACTTGCATCACATATCACACTCACTGTAGGTGAACGAAGATTTTATTGAGTTTACAGCGTGTTATGGGGGGGGGGGGGAGTTGATTTTAAAACGTCAGGAAATAGACAAGGTCGAGTTAGGTCTTTGTTAAACATTCTATGGTATTATATGACAGATGGGTCTAGCATGTTCTTAGACATGACCTGACAGACCTGACCTTAGACATGACCTAACAGACCTGACCTTTGACATGACCTGACAGACCTGACCTTTGACATGACCTGACAGACCTGACCTTAGACATGACCTAACAGACCTGACCTTTGACATGACCTGACAGACCTGACCTTTGACATGACCTGACAGACCTGACCTTTGACATGACCTGACAGACCTGACCTTAGACAGGACCTGACAGACCTGACCTTAGAAAGAACCTTACACACGTGTCCAGCCTGACCTGAGACATGACCTAATAGATGTGTCTAGCCAGAACTTAGGACCTAACAGACCTAGCTTTAGACAGGACCTAACAGACATGTTTAGCCTGACCTTAGACATGACCTAACAGATGTGACTAGCCTGACCTTGGAACCTATAGACGTGCCACTGTGGAAATGATTTACAAAAGAAATAAACAATGACGTCAGACGCGGCCGTCTGGCTAATTTTTTTGGTCACGTGGTTTTCCCTGGACAGGAGCAAAAACTAGCAAGCACGTGCGGGTAGTGTGGGTAGTGTGAGACGTGTGGGTAGTGTTGTTAGTGTGAGACGTGTGGGTAGTGTTGTTAGTGTGAGACGTGTGGGTAGTGTGAGACGTGTGGGTAGTGTTGTTAGTGTGAGACGTGTGGGTAGTGTTGTTAGTGTGAGACGTGTGGGTAGTGTTGTTAGTGTGAGACGTGTGGGTAGGGTTGTTAGTGTGAGACGTGTGGGTAGTGTTGTTAGTGTGAGACGTGTGGGTAGTGTGGGTAGTGTTGTTAGTGTGAGACGTGTGGGTAGTGTTGTTAGTGTGAGACGTGTGGGTAGTGTTGTTAGTGTGAGACGTGTGGGTAGTGTTGTTAGTGTGAGACGTGTGGGTAGTGTGGGTAGTGTTGTTAGTGTGAGACGTGTGGGTAGTGTTGTTAGTGTGAGACGTGTGGGTAGTGTTGTTAGTGTGAGACGTGTGGGTAGTGTTGTTAGTGTGAGACGTGTGGGTAGTGTTGTTAGTGTGAGACGTGTGGGTAGTGTGGGTAGTGTTGTTAGTGTGAGACGTGTGGGTAGTGTTGTTAGTGTGAGACGTGTGGGTAGTGTTGTTAGTGTGAGACGTGTGGGTAGTGTGAGACGTGTGGGTAGTGTTGTTAGTGTGAGACGTGTGGGTAGTGTTGTTATTGTGAGGGCACGTGCCTGCTTGTCCGTACAGTACAGTGTGAGCACTGGGAACTGGTGGGGGAGGGGGTTTGTAGCTGATAGTTGCAGTGTTCTGTTGGATGGGGGCGGGGCGCGGGTGGGGGTGATGTCGCGGGCGTGTTGCCCTACCGAATCAGTCAGAACACGTGAACTAATCTAATAATGAACAATCCAAAACTCTTTGAGTCTATGACGTCACACCAGTGGCGTAGCGACCCTTCCCGGCGCCCGGGGACAAACTTTCAATTTGGCGCCCCACTCGGGAGCAAATTATCGATTTGCACCCCCCCCCCCCTCTCAAACTGTTTATAATGCAAAAATGCAGCTAAAATGACATTTAAATTTGTTTTTACAACCCATTCTGGCGCCCCCTAAGGTCGGCGCCCGGGGACATATGTACCCCCCCTGCCCCCCTTCCCCCCGTCTCAAACACCTTTTTTGTTTAATCTATCGTTTAAAACTGACCAGCTTCTAGCGTTAGGGAGGTTGCTAAATATCTGTTTTAGAACAGACTACTTTACCCTCCAAAATAGATTCCACCAAAATAGATTAGACACAATAGATTTAAACGAAATATTTATATAGATGTATATTGACTTACCTGATGCAGGTGAAAAGAACAAGTATAAATAATGACGTCATATCCTGTTTCGTCATCCTGCCTAATCTAAACCGATCTCTCCAGGCGAAATTGAAATAAATAATGTTTATGTTGGGGTAGATCAGAGCGGAAAATCCACGCAGTAAAAAATTTCTGTAGAACAGGACAATCAATGTTTCTACAATCCTCTTCAGTACAATCAATGTTTCTAAACTCTACTACGGCACAATCGATGTTTCCACAATCCTCTACATTAGTGCCTACCCCTGCTCACGCCAAAGGTCAGAACTTGACCTTCAAGATGGCAGCTAGTCCAGTACTGTCCAACACAGTGCACTACAAAAGTACCGTCCAGGGTCTTTACGCTAGACAACCTAACCTAATCCACAAGTTATGTATCCACAAGTTATGTATCCACAAGTGCTGTATCCAACACAGGGAGGTATCCACAAGTGCTGTATCCACACGTGCTGTATCCAAGACAGACTGTATCCAAGACAGACTGTATCCAAGACAGTGCTGTATCCACAAGGGCTGTATCCACAAGGGCTGTATCCACAAGGGCTGTATCCACAAGGGCTGTATCCACAAGGGCCTGTATAAACAGCCTTTAGAGAAAACTTTGTACCTGAGAAAAAAAATTAGTCGTAACATTTTGTTGTTGACAGCAGAAACCTAACATTTTGTTATTACTAGAAGAGATTTAAAGAGATTTAACATTTAACGTTGTTACTAGTAGAAACTTAACATTTTGTAGTTGTTAAAAGAGATGTAACATTTTATTGTTGCTTTAACTTTTTTTTTATCAATATAAAACCACACACCAATGATCGTTATCACCTTCTTAACACTTATTAGTGTTGTTTTTGTTAATTAATTATCAACCACAACACATCAAACCAAGTTAACATTAATTCGTTCTATATTTTTGAAGAACTGTACAAGAAAAAAAAATTCCATTAAAAATCTTCGTGTGCGGCGTGCTATAAGTATTTTAAAGTCTGTCTAATCACCGACACGGGACTGAGGGGAGGGAGGGGGAGGGGGGGTGCTCATAGGCAATAAAACAAATATTTCAAAAATAATCTCCAAAAAATATCTTTTTTTCTGCTTGCACAAACGTGTTAGAAAACCAATCGGCATAATACGAATGTAGGCCCACACTCTATTTGTTTCAACACTGTCAATGAAATGTAACTAAAATAACTTTCGCGGTAAGCGCGGAGGCCGTAACGGCGCAGGAAAGTGGTTTTACAGTTTTACTAATGGCGGAACTGTCTGCCCTAATGAGTTAGTGGCGCGTGGTTTATCAATCTCTGAGTTTTGGGATCGTCTGGTGTAGAGGCTATGCTGAGATGGCGCCATCACATCTAGTCTAGACAACTCTGCCTGTATTGAGAGGATTTGTTGAATTACGGCTCGTGGGGAGCTGATGGATCTCCCAGCATTCAGCGGGCAAGATGGAAGGAGGGGGGGGGGGGGGACATTCAGAAGTTGCTTGAACCAAGGGAGACAAGGGTACCAGGTGCTAGCGGAAGTAGGTGATGGTACCGCGACAACAAGGTGGTCTAAACAGTGGTCAACGGCGATTTGGGGGAGGGGGGGGGGGCACTTGAAACTTTCGAGGGGGGGGGCTAAATTTTTCCGTGGGGGGGGGGGGGGAATGACACTGGTAAAAGTATATATTTTCTATATAAAATCAATTTCGTTGTGGGGGGGGGGGTGTGAAGAATGCCTGAAATAAACAGAGGTGGTCATTTTAGTTTTTGTTACATTTAATTATGTTGTCGGCATCATTCACAATTTTTTAAATCTGTGTGTACATTGGTACATTTGTTTTATTTCATAATTATAGGAATAAAATGTCAACGAAGTAGATATATTTAATTATTATTAAAAGGATGGTTGTTGTTTTTAAATGCCGGCATAATATGCCATATAAAAACAATAACTACGTAATCTTATTTAGTGTATAACGTAAATTAATACATAATCTTATATGTCATATAAGCTAAACTAATATATAATCTTATCAACCAACCTAAAAACGCATTATTATTTAACGATTAACTATAAATAACCATAAATCACCAATTTATCTATTTATAGCTCTATCTGTTCCTTAACAAGTCGGGTATTTAAAAAACCGCATGACGTTAATGAGTGTGATATAAACGAAAGAAAACCAGCTCTCCTTTCATTAAGGCACTTTTGATCTCTCGCTTCTTGCTAGTCTAACCAAGGGGCGAGCACTCCGGGGGGATATTTATGATAAAAATCCCATGCTGCGTGATAATTATGAAAATTGCTTCCCTTTTTTATAGTTTTCATTGAAAAATAAAAGTTAGGTCTGGGGCCATATGTTGTTAATATCGATACTTAATCCAACGGATGGGTTCAGATAGAGACTTTGGTCGATTACATGTTATTGATGCGATTGAATGTCCTTATCCCAGAAAACTCTCAAGCAGGTGGTTTTTAAAAGAGTAACTGTTTGTTTTTAATACATTTTCCACAGATCAAATTTATTTACTTTTTGCAATATATTCGGTAACTAAACACATTTTAAAAAAACAACACAAAAAATGTCTCGTTGCAACGGCATTTTGGTTAAATTGTAAACAAACTAGACTTGACTGGTCACGCTTATGTTCAATGGCAGAACTAAACATTTCTTTCGAGTTTGAAGCTTTTATCTTAGTCTCTACGAGCTTGAAAAATTTGGTTAGGGTTAGACTCTAAATGTTTAGCTTAGACCACCTGATACATTTGGTTAGGGTTAGATTCTAAATGTTTGGCTTAGACTGCCTGATACATTTGGTTAGGTTAGATTCTAAATGTTTGGCTTAGACTGCCTGATACATTTGGTTAGGGTTAGATTCTAAATGTTTGGCTTAGACCACCTGATACATTTGGTTAGGGTTAGATTCTAAATGTTTGGCTTAGACTGCCTGATACATTTGGTTAGGTTTAGATTCTAAATGTTTGGCTTAGACTGCCTGATACATTTGGTTAGGTTTAGATTCTAAATGTTTGGCTTAGACAACACTAGCTGATACATTTGGTTAGGGTTAGGTTCTAAATGTGTGGCTTAGACTGCCTGATACATTTGGTTAGGGTTAGATTCTAAACGTTTGGCTTAGACCACCTGATACATTTGGTTAGGGTTAGGTTCTAAATGTTTGGCTTAGACTGCCTGATACATTTGGTTAGGGTTAGATTCTAAATGTTTGGCTTAGACAACACTAGCTGATACATTTGGTTAGGGTTAGATTCTAAATGTTTAGCTTAGACCACCTGATACATTTGGTTAGGGTTAGATTCTAAATGTTTGGCTTAGACCACCTGATACATTTGGTTAGGGTTAGGTTCTAAATGTGTGGCTTAGACTGCCTGATACACTTGGTTAGGGTTAGATTCTAAACGTTTGGCTTAGACCACCTGATACATTTGGTTAGGGTTAGGTTCTAAATGTTTGGCTTAGACTGCCTGATACATTTGGTTAGGTTTAGATTCTAAATGTTTGGCTTAGACTGCCTGACACATTTGGTTAGGTTTAGATTCTAAATGTTTGGCTTAGACCACCTGATACATTTGGTTAGGGTTAGATTCTATATGTTTGGCTTAGACCACCTGATACATTTGGTTAGGGTTAGATTCTAAATGTTTGGCTTAGACCACACCACCTGATACATTTGGTTAGGGTTAGATTCTAAACATTTGGCTTAGACCACCTGATACATTTGGTTAGGGTTAGATTCTAAATGTTTGGCTTAGACCACCTGATACATTTGGTTAGGGTTAGATTCTAAATGTTTGACTTAGACCACCTGATACATTTGGTTAGGGTTAGATTCTAAACGTTTGGCTTAGACCACACTACATGATACATTTGGTTAGGGTTAGATTCTAAACGTTTGGCTTAGACCACCTGATACATTTGGTTAGGGTTAGATTCTAAATGTTTGGCTTAGACCACCTGATACATTTGGTTAGCGTTAGATTCTAAACGTTTGGCTTAAGAATGCATGATAAATTTGGTTAGGGTTAGATAAACGGATCAAAGGTAAACATGAAGACAATGTTTCACACTGTTTAAACAAATAAAACCTTCATCCACAACAAATGCCAACAACAACAGCACACATGTATCCCGGTTTTAATTATTAGATTTGGTTCCTCCATTTTTTTTTATCGTCTGAAAAATTTGGTGCCAAATGTCAGGCAGTAAATGACATTTGACCTCTTGGTAATCAGTCACGTTACATTAATTACTCGGGGTATTTATCTAATGCCACTCTCACATTTTCTATGACATTTACTGATGTCGCTATTAACTTTTATTAGCCCTACACCCCCACCCCTACAACCCCACCCCTAATCCCCCCTGATCCCCCAACCCCCCTGATTATAATACTTTGGGTTTCTGACCATGCATTATTTTTATAGAGAAATCCTTAAGTAAAATAAATCAATAATAAGTAAAATAATAAACTTTCTCGTATATTCTTAAATAACACAGTGATGATTGAGATTGTACAATTGAAATATAGAAGTTTGTGACAAAACCGCTCGTTTTTTTTTCGAGAAAATATATAGAAGCGAAAAGTTTTTAGAATATGCTTTATGAGTTGAAAGAAATCTACTTACGTATATATGAAACTTCTTCCACCTAACTGAAACGGTACTCGAGTTATCGGGTTTAGAGAAACTGAAAGTACCACTTCCGGTTGCCGGAAATTGCTAAAAAATTGACAGAAACCTACGTTTGGGATCTAATATTAATTTATCAACACAAAAACACAAAGTTTTTACGACAACAATAACAAAAATTCGCAGAAGAAATTTTAAAACATCGGTTTAGTAAATTATTAAACCAAACTAAAATATTTATAAAAATGTTCTTAGGTCAAAAGTGAATTCTACAAAGTTGAGTCAAATAAATGTTTTCCTCCAATGAAACTGCTGGAAAGTTTCCACGCTATCCCAGCATGCCTTGCTTATCTTTACATCACTAGACGACTGGAAAACTATTCAAATATTCTAATGTCAGCCTACATCGTCCCTTTTAGCTCAGTCGTCTCATCGTACAATCTAATCTTAGCTCAATGCTTTTAACCTTTGTAAATCGTCTCTTTTAGCTCAGTCGTATCTTCGTACAATCTAATCTTAGCTCAGTGCGTTTAACCTAGGTAACGAAAGTGCTAGATAGATACAGCTTTTAATATGCTATCGTTTATAGTTTATATGATCTTTTCTTCTATAAAATATTAAATACATTGAAACACAATGTTAACAAAAATAGGAGCAACACAGACACACATTGGGCAGAGTGCTGACCACACCTTTCCTGCATATATCAAGGTCAAGTAACACAGAAACTATCATCTGGTCAACAGGAACTTAGTGTGTCATGTTTGTGTCTTGTTTGTGTCATGTGTGTGTCATGTGTGTGTCATGTTTGTGTCTTGTTTGTGTCTTGTTTGTGTCATGTGTGTGTCATGTGTGTGTCTTGTTTGTGTCATGTTTGTGTCATGTCTATGTTATGTGTGTGTCATGTGTGTGTCATGTGTGTGTCATGTGTGTGTGTCATGTGTGTGTCATGTGTGTGTGTCATATGTGTGTCATGTGTGTGTCATGTGTGTGTCATGTGTGTCATGTGTGTGTCATGTGTGTGTATCATGTGTGTGTCATGTGTGTGTGTCATATGTGTGTCATGTGTGTGTCATGTGTGTGTCATGTGTGTCATGTGTGTGTCATGTGTGTGTATCATGTGTGTGTCATAAGTGTGTCATGTATGTGTGTCATGTGTGTGTGTCATTTGTGTGTCGTGTGTTTGTCATGTGTGTCAAGTGTGTGTCATATCTGTGTGTCATGTGTGTGTCATGTGTGTTATGTGTGTGCTGCATGTATTTCGCTCACCAACTACATGCTCTAAATGTGGATTATATTAAAGTTGCGTTAATCATCTAATTAACTTGGCCAAATGGCGACTTAGCATTTAGGGAATAGGCTATTTGTAACCACATCACATGTAAACAATTAATGAGAACATTTGTGAAATGTAAAATGTTATAGTTTTAATTCTAAGTTAAAAACTGACACATGCCTGAGTTAAATACTGACACATTACTCAAATACTGACACATGACTGAGTTAAATACTGACACATGACTGAGTTAAATACTGACACATGACTGAGTTAAATACTGACACATGACTCAAATACTGACACATGTCTGAGTTAAATACTGACACATGACTGGGTTAAATACTGACACATGACTCAAATACTGACACATGACTCAAATACTGACACATGACTGAGTTAAATACTGACACATGGCTGGGTTAAATACTGACACATGACTCAAATACTGACACATGACTGAGTTAAATACTGACACATGACTGAGTTAAATACTGACACATGACTGAGTTAAATACTGACACATGACTGGGTTAAATACTGACACGTGACTGGGTTAAATACTGACACAAGACTGAGTTAAATACTGACACATGACTGAGTTAAATACTGACACGTGACTGGGTTAAATACTGACACAAGACTGAGTTAAATACTGACACATGACTCAAATACTGACACATGACTGAGTTAAATACTGACACATAACTCAAATACTGACACATGACTTAAATACTGACACATGACTGAGTTAAATACTGACACATGACTGAGTTAAATACTGACACATGACTGGGTTAAATACTGACACATGACTCAAATACTGACACATGACTGAGTTAAATACTGACACATTACTCAAATACTGACACATGACTTAAATACTGACACATGACTGAGTTAAATACTGACACATTACTCAAATACTGACACATGACTTAAATACTGACACATGACTGAGTTAAATACTGACACATGACTGGGTTAAATACTGACACATGACTGGGTTAAATACCGACACATGACTCAAATACTGACACATGACTGAGTTAAATACTGACACATGACTGAGTTAAATACTGACACATGACTCAAATACTGACACATGACTGAGTTAAATACTGACACATGACTGGGTTAAATACTGACACATGACTTAAATACTGACACATGACTGAGTTAAATACTGACACATGACTGAGTTAAATACTGACACATGACTCAAATACTGACACATGACTGAGTTAAATACTGACACATGACTGAGTTAAATACTGACACATGACTGAGTTAAATACTGACACATGACTGAGTTAAATACTGACACATGACTGAGTTAAATACTGACACATGACTGGGTTAAATACTGACACGTGACTGGGTTAAATACTGACACAAGACTGAGTTAAATACTGACACATGACTGAGTTAAATACTGACACGTGACTGGGTTAAATACTGACACAAGACTGAGTTAAATACTGACACATGACTCAAATACTGACACATGACTGAGTTAAATACTGACACATTACTCAAATACTGACACATGACTTAAATACTGACACATGACTGAGTTAAATACTGACACATGACTGAGTTAAATACTGACACATGACTGGGTTAAATACTGACACATGACTCAAATACTGACACATGACTGAGTTAAATACTGACACATTACTCAAATACTTACACATGACTTAAATACTGACACATGACTGAGTTAAATACTGACACATTACTCAAATACTGACACATGACTTAAATACTGACACATGACTGAGTTAAATACTGACACATGACTGGGTTAAATACTGACACATGACTGGGTTAAATACTGACACATGACTCAAATACTGACACATGACTGAGTTAAATACTGACACATGACTGAGTTAAATACTGACACATGACTCAAATACTGACACATGACTGAGTTAAATACTGACACATGACTGGGTTAAATACTGACACATGACTCAAATACTGACACATGACTGAGTTAAATACTGACACATGACTGAGTTAAATACTGACACATGACTCAAATACTGACACATGACTGAGTTAAATACTGACACATGACTGAGTTAAATACTGACACATGACTGAGTTAAATACTGACACATGACTGAGTTAAATACTGACACATGACTGAGTTAAATACTGACACATGACTGGGTTAAATACTGACACGTGACTGGGTTAAATACTGACACAAGACTGAGTTAACTACTAATACTGACACAAAGATATGAAATATTGACTTATGACTGAAATACTGACCTATGATTGATTATACTGACACACGACTGTGCAAAATACCGTCACACGACTATGGTCTAATGTTGTGTTTTCCAACAGTGAAAGGTTAGCCACACACATCAAACAAGTTTACCTCTCCTGTATGAACTATCCGAAAAAACTCCTTATAAAACACACGGACGTAAAAGACTCAACCTCTAATTAAAACATCGAAATGGAATTTTCCTAAAGACACGCGAAATTTACCCATCAGTTCGGTTTTAGTATACGCCTATTTTATCACACATTTTTATATAACATGTGGTTTAATAGTCTACAAGTTTTATCTCTTTATACATAACGATTCACATGTTATATTTATTTTCTTCATTGTTGTAATTGTTTCGTATAAAAAAGTAAGGTAACAAGAGCAGAGATAAAACAAACAAACAGCCAGAGACGTGGCTTCTCTAAACATGACCAGTTCCACCTGGATGGTACCTGGTGCTATGCTACTCACTCACCTGGATGGGACCTGGCGCTATGCTACTCACCTTCCAGCACGTGCGCTTTGGGTCAAGTGACTGGAGTTAACTGCTCCTGCCCCAGCCTGCTCTGTATCGCGAGACGTTCTCAGCCACAAACTCGCTTAGCCTGTTGGCCTTGTACCCTCGACATTAGAGCTGAATACAAAATGAGCACCAGTTCCCCCTAGAGCGGCGGTACTACGGGGCCAGCTGAAATTAATTATTCATCGAGTCATTAAAAACAAGCATTTGTTTAATTGGTAATTAGCTGATTCCAGTCTACATCGATGTAGCACTTGCCGACGAAATGACTTGGTTTAAAAACTCCTTGACATTTAGCAGATGACGAAATGACATTGTTAAAAACTTTGTCTTTTTGCCGGGGACGGAAGAAAATGGTTTAAAAACTTCTTTAGCAGAGGACGAAATGACATGGTTCAATAACTTGTCAAGTATTCAATTGCAACGTTTAATTGCAGGCAGTGACGCAGGAAATCTAACATTTAACTGTAGGAAATCAAACGTTTAACTGCAGACATTGACGTAGGAAATCAGGTTTCTAACTGCTAGTTTATCGTATACTTGCAGGTGTGAAGAAAAAAATCTCCATTTAAAAAAAAAAGATAGACAGGGTTTTAAAGAAATAAAAAGCAATATCTAATCAGCATCCAGCCATCAAATTGGGACATTTTTTCCTACTGCAACATGTGGATTTGTGTAGCACTGAATGTGTGGACCAAACTCACAGAACTCTCTTGAATAGAAGATCAAAGAAATCAAGTGCCAGGGCAATCTAGAGAGAATTCGAGAGATTGTGCACATATTGTATATCGCTATTTCTTTTTAAGCTATTCGCCAACCACCCACATGATATTACATTTTCATATATACCTCCATCACACATACACACACACACACACAAACACACCAGAAACCCCGACACAATTCAGTAAAACTAAAAAAAATTCTTCTAAACTATGCAAAACACAGTTTAATGAAAATTAATTGTTACATTTGGGTTAGGAAAAAAGTAGGCCTATTTTCTGTTAATGTAATGTTATCTTGTTCATAATTCATCCAATTATCCAAAGTAAGAAACGCAATAAGATTACTATCTATCACTCCATAACCCAATATATCACAAGATACCTAATGGAAGGATAACCCACCCCTGCTCAATTCATGTTATAAAATACGAGCACGATTTTTAATGAAATGTTCCCAAGTATTTTTTCTTCTTTCCTGGCACGATTCAAACGTTAAACAATAAAAAAAAAATGAAATTTATCTTAGTGTAAAAATGGTACCAGAGCTAAATGCGGGTGGCCACTTCAATAAGGGGGAAGGAAATTTTTTAAAAAGAAAAGAGGCGAAGATGCTCTAATCTAGTCACGTGGTGAGAATTGGTTCTCCATTTACAATGAGGCTATTAAGACGGTTTATTTTCGGCACTTTGCTTTTTATCACGTTCTGTTTCTGTTTAATTAGAGAGGTAGAGTTGTATTTTTCTGTTTGTGGGATGTGCGGATAAAAGGAAGTGCTCTCCCTTTTTTTTTTAGTGCGATGAGAGTTATCTATCGTTGTGGGGCTGGTGATTAAACGCATCAGGTAGAGCTGAGGGACAGAGCAAGGTAGACTGGATGGGGGGGGGGGGGGGGGGGGGGGGTGGAACGTGGGAGTTAGTGTACATCGTGGCCAGGTAGATATTGTAGATAAAAACAATTTTACCCACCCCTCCTCTCTTTATGATGTAACTCCTTTAATCTCGTAAGAACATTCAACCCCAATTAACAGGCTCCATTCATCCCCCCCCCCCCTTGCATGCTAAAGACACGTCAACCAAGTTGATTTATGTTTGGATTAAACTCGCATGTCACCATTAGTCAGATCACTGACTGATATGTGTAGGTCCTATATGTGGGTAGTGTAGGTCCTATATGAGTCTAGTGTAGGTCCTATATGTGGGTAGTATAGGTCCTATAGGTGTCTAGTGTAGGTCCTACATGAGTCTAGAGTAGGTCCTACATGTGTCTAGGTCCTATATGTGGGTAGTGTAGGTCCTACATGAGTCTAGTGTAGGTCCTACATGAGTCTAGTGTAGGTCCTACATGTGTCTAGGTCCTATATGTGGGTAGTGTAGGTCCTATATGTGGGTAGTGTAGGTCCTACATGTGTCTAGGTCCTATATGTGGGTAGTGTAGGTCCTATATGTGGGTAGTGTAGGTCCTATATGTGGGTAGTGTAGGTCCTACATGAGTCTAGTGTAGGTCCTACATGAGTCTAGTGTAGGTCCTATATGTGGGTAGTGTAGGTCCTATATGTGGGTAGTGTAGGTCCTACATGTGTCTAGGTCCTATATGTGGGTAGTGTAGGTCCTATATGTGCCAAGTGTAGGTCCTACATGAGTCTAGTGTAGGTCCTATATGTGGGTAGTGTAGGTCCTACATGAGTCTAGTGTAGGTCCTACATGTGTCTAGGTCCTATATGTGGGTAGTGTAGGTCCTATATGTGCCAAGTGTAGGTCCTATATGTGTGTAGGTGCTATATGTGTCTAGTGTAGGTCCTACATGAGTCTATGTCCTACATGTGTCTAGTGTAGGTCCTATATGTGGATAGAGTAGGACCTACATGTTAGTATTGTTGGTCCTACATGTGTCTAGTGTAGGTCCTATTGGTGAGTAGTGTAGGTCCTATATGTGTCTAGTGTAGGTGCTGTAGGTGTCAAGTGTAGGTCCTACATGTGTCTAGTGTAGGTCCTATTTGTGTCTAGTGTAGGTCCTACATGTGTCTAGTGTAGGTCCTACATGTGTCTAGTGTAGGTCCTACAACATGTGTCTAGTTTTCTAGTGTAGGTCCTACATGTGTCTAGTGTAGGTCCTACATGTGTCTAGTGTAGGTCCTACATGTGTCTAGTGTAGGTCCTACATGTGAGTGGTGTAGGTCCTACATGTGAGTAGTGTAGGTCTTACATGTGTCTAGTGTAGGTCCTATAGGTGAGTAGTGTAGGTCCTACACACAGATATACATGATTATATATATATATATATATATTTATTTATTTATATATACTCATGTCTATCTTAGCACATATTTTTATAGATAAAAATCATTGTATTTAACGTTAATTCTACATTCTCTAAAAAACAATTATTTTATGAATTCTATTAAAAATAATATTCCATTAATTTAAATAAACCGGGAGTGATCTCCCCTAAACTTTCTCGAATATTGTTATATAAAATAACAGGGGATGGGAACTCGGGCTATAGACATGATTTTTAATCCATTTTAAATACTTAAAGTTTTAAAAATAGAATAAAATCTCGTAGACAAATTAATTGCACACCAAGTGAACGCGAAATAAAAAAGCGCATAATAGTGCGCAATATTATTATTACTTTTAAAATTTACATTAGTTTTTTGAGAAATCGGAAGTAGCGTAAAGTACTACTTCCAGTCAACGGAAATAACTCAAAATTTAATAGAAGGTAGAGAATTAGATCTTTTACTTACGTATGAAATTTCATTTATCTATCTGAAATAGTACTCAAGTTATAGGCTTTTGAAAAATTCAAAGTAGGAAAAGTACCACTTCCGGTTATCGGAAATCGCTCAAAAGTTGATACGGATCTACGATTTTGATTAAATACTTATATATGAAATTTCATCAACCTAGCTGTAACGGTACTCAAGTTATCGTGTTTACACACGGACAGACACACACACGGACAGACACACACACACAGACATACGGACAAGATTGCAAAATTATGTTTTTCCGTATCAGTGAGGTGTAAAACGTCGAGATTTGTAAAAATCTCGATTTTTTTTTTTTGCACGATTACAATACTTTCTCTATACTACGTATATACGAGAAAGTAAAAACAATCAAAGAAAGTCATCATAAGGCAAAATGTCACATTTTTATTTCTAAACACACATAAAGTACCAAAAAATACCACCAAATTGTAAGTACCCTATCAGTATCATAAAGTAAGAGTGCAGGGTCACACTGATAACATTTTCCCACCATACAATGTTAGGCCAACCACTTCACCTGTGTCCTTGTTACTGACTTGAAACACTTAGCATTTGTATTGGCTGCAGACAAACAAGGCCTTCAATTGCTCATCCAGGTGATCAACGCAGTTTTAAAACAAAGATTGAATTTAAATCTGAAACAGTTTTATCCATGTCAAGACAATTTAAAACAAAGATAGAATTTAATCTGAAACAGTTTTATCCATGTCAAGACAATTTAAAACAAAGATAGAATTTAAATCTGAAACAGTTTTATCCATGTCAAGACAATTTAAAACAAAGATAGAATTTAAATCTGAAACAGTTTTATCCATGTCAAGACAATTTAAAACAAAGATAGAATTTAAATCTGAAAGAGTTTTATCCATGTCAAGACAATTTAAAACAAAGATAGAATTTAAATCTGAAACAGTTTTATCCATGTCAAGACAATTTAAAACAAAGATAGAATTTAATCTGAAACAGTTTTATCCATGTCAAGACAATTTAAAACAAAGATAGAATTTAATCTGAAACAGTTTTATCCATGTCAAGACAATTTAAAACAAAGATAGAATTTAAATCTGAAACAGTTTTATCCATGTCAAGACAATTTAAAACAAAGATAGAATTTAAATCTGAAACAGTTTTATCCATGTCAAGACAATTTAAAACAAAGATAGAATTTAAATCTGAAAGAGTTTTATCCATGTCAAGACAATTTAAAACAAAGATAGAATTTAAATCTGAAACAGTTTTATCCATGTCAAGACAATTTAAAACAAAGATAGAATTTAATCTGAAACAGTTTTATCCATGTCAAGACAATTTAAAACAAAGATAGAATTTAAATCTGAAACAGTTTTATCCATGTCAGGACAATTTAAAACAAAGATAGAATTTAATCTGAAACAGTTTTATCCATGTCAAGACAATTTAAAACAAAGATAGAATTTAATCTGAAACAGTTTTATCCATGTCACAATATCACTTGTTTAACAAACACATTAACAATGGGAAGAAGAAGAAAATAGATCTAAGTCTAATATCCACAATAATCATCACAAAATCTAGTTACTCAGATGTTTCTACTGAGCTGTTAATCAAGAATCATCAGTAATAAAGGCTGAAACAACAACAAACATCAGTAACAAAGGCTGAAACAACAACAAACATCAGTAACAAAGGCTGAAACAACAACAAACATCAGTAACAAAGGCTGAAACAACAACAAACATGAATTTTTAGGGCTAATGAATTTTGGGACAAATGTATAACAAATGTGTGTGTGTGTGTGTGTGTGTGTGTAGGGAGTTTGTCTATCGAATTAATGGACAACTGTGTAACAGATGCGTGTGTGTGTGTGTCTATGTGTGTGTATGTCTGTGTAGAGAGACTGTGCTGCAGGAAAAAAAAGTAAACCCTGCCACAGTTCAAACCCCTGCCAGCTGGTTAGAGTAGAGGTCATTTTTTTTTAAAAATATATGCAAACAAGTTGTTTCACCAAATTAAAAAACAAATATATTCATACAAATCTTTTCACCTAATTAAAAAAACAAATACATTCAAACTAATCTTTTTACCAAAATTACCTAACATATATATTCCTATGTAGCTATTAAACAATTTACAAATCTTATAACCAAAGTTGCTGTAATCAAATAACTAACAAATCAAACAAATATTCAGTTGTGAGAGAGACACTAAACAACTAAATGTCAGCCATTTTGTTGAAGGTTTCAATCATAACTTTGATGAGAATTTGTAATGTTAATGTATTTTTAACACTGTTAAAACAAAATTATAGGGGAGAAAATGATAAAACATTGGAAATATGTTGGACCGATATAACATTTCTTTTTCTAGAAATACAAATCCAATTTTCATGAAAAAATATGATACATTTTATCAGAAAAAAAATTGACAATAATAATGAGGGATTTAATTCCAGGATGGTTAGCATTAATTGGACACAGAATATAAAATTTGCCAGATGTTTTAAGCCATCTTTGTTTAACATTCATGTAAAAATATCTTTGACTTCATGTCACAACCTCTTATGTGCAGGGGAATTAATTCAGGCAGCAACATTAAAGGGAAACAACTCAGGCAACAATATTAAAAGTCCCACATTCACTGCAAACCTGCTTCAGTATGCTCTGGTACAAAGTACACACAAATACAAACTTAATCATTAAATACAGTTCTAGTTACCTTAAATTACATGAAAGTTATTTTGAAAGCCTTATCCACAGCAGTAATGATTGAATATCCACCACAAACAAAACAAACTCCACTATAAGTCTGGTAAGTTTCTAGTCCAGCAGTAAAAAAAAAAGTGTCAACTTATGTAAATAACAAACTTTGATTAAACCTCTGAAAAGGAAATACATTTTGTAACAAATATCAGACTGAAATATATGCATTTTAATTAATATCTAGATATTGCTTAAAATTTGAGAGAAAAACTGAGCAATCACTTTTTCATTCTTTTTTCATTCATAGGTGTTGTAAGAATGAAGGAGGTATTAATCAACTGTAAACAATATGAAACAAATAGATAAACTTTTGAACTCAATACTGAAGTTAATACGGCTATAGTTACTTGTACAATGGTTGGTAATACATGAACAATAATACATGAAAGATAATACAAGAAAGATAATCCATGAAAGATAATATATGAAAGATAAAATTGATGCATATAACAAGATCAGCAGTATGGTAACATACAACACACAACAATCTGAACATTAACACAACAACATGAACAATCTGAACATTATTAAAAATATGAACATTAATCCAAAAAGGGGTTTAAAACTTCAGACGTGCACACACAAAGATCTACCAAAAAACAATCTCCACTAGTTCATATTAAGTATCTATGAACATAACTTATATGCATACTATCTCTCAGATCCAATGAATTATTAGTAATTAAGAAACAGGTGATTAGCATAACCTGAGAAAAGGGTGTGAGTCCGCAGTGATCTGTAATGTCCAAAAGTATTATGTGAGGGGGAGGGAGGGAGGGGGGTGATTAGGGGTCAGGGGTTAAGTTTTCATATGGTGTAGCCAGGCTAGATAATGTACCTGTCTGTCATTAAGAAAGTAGAGCTAGGCACTCAGAAGATGCTGGGGACTTTTTTCTTAAGAGAATCATCAAGGATTTGCAATTAATAAGATAATGAATAGATTTTTCAAAGCACTTATTCCATATAAAAAAATCAATCTTTAAAAATTAATCTTAAAAACGTCCATGCAAGCACAATTTTGAAACACTCTTTCATGAATGTAAAAACAAATATGTACATGACTTAGTTTTTAAAAACATAAAAATCGACATAAAAATGAACATAAAAAATTATGTCAAGGGGGTTAGTAAACAAGGGTTAAAACAAAGCATATGTGTAAAATGAATATCAAATAAACAAGTATCAAAGTGATCTAACAGAATGAATTGGTTGGAGAATAATTCATGTGTAAAATCTTATCAAATAATCTTTAAACCATCTCTACTATCATGCAATTTCAGGTTACAAAATACATTTTGGTGTATCATTTATACATTGTCAAGTTGCAAAATACATTTTGATGTATCATTTATACCTTGTCAAGTTGCAAAATACATTTTGATGTTTCATTTATACATTGTCAAGTTGCAAAATACATTTTGATGTTTCATTTCTACAACAGTGTGTATCAATCTCATTTGATTTCATTTGGCTAAACTGATAATAAAACTTACAAAAAGTAAATACAATGTAAATATCAAGTAAACAAAAGTTTACATTTTTTTTTAAAGTTTGCTCAGTTACACTCAAACAATACATGAATGTTGCCAGAATTACATAACTAGATAAAATTGGCAATAACTCCCAAGTTCAACAAAATAATAAAAAAGTTGTTTCCCTTTTACCCAGCCAGATGTACACATGTAGGTCACCAGATAAATAATTTAATTTTTAAATACCAGCTGGTGCAATAACTTGCTTGCAAAATACTGACATGCAATAATACAGACATGATCAAAACAGGCTGGAAAAACATTCTAAAACATGCAGACATTACTGGCAAATTGGAAATGTTGAATGAAACAGCTGACCAACTAAATAGCTGACAAACGTTTCCTTTGTTTATCTGTCAGGTCTGGATGCCAGAAGTCTACAATGAGAACCAAGCGCAGTTCCTTCCCATCATGCCACACCTCGTGCTCAAAAGAATCATCAAAGATGATGAACTGCCCTTCTTTCCAGGTCCTGTTTAAGATAAAGAGCAGCTTTAATATATTTATCTAACCAACTTGCACTGATTTTAATATCTTAGAACTATAATCAAATTTTATTTTCAAAAACTAACTTTAAAACATTTTTACATGAAGAAATGTAACTGTTATCATGCACAGCCTTAAATAAATGTGTTATCTCTATGGTCTGATGGTACCACAACTTGTATTGTATAACCTGCCCCAACTTGTATGACCTGACCTGCCCCAACTTGTATGACCTGACCTGCCCCAACTTGTATGACCTGACCTGCCCCAACTTGTATGACCTGCCCCAACTTGTATGACCTGCCCCAACTTGTATGACCTGCCCCAACTTGTATGACCTGCCCCAACTTGTATGACCTGCCCCAACTTGTATGACCTGCCCCAACTTGTATGACCTGCCCCAACTTGTATGACCTGCCCCAACTTGTATGACCTGACTTGCCCCAACTTGTATAACCAACTGACCTCCCCAACTTGTATAACCAACTGACCTCCCAACTTGTACAACCAACTGACCACCCCAACTTGTACAACCAACTGACCTCCCCAACTTGTATGACCTGACATGCCCCAACTTGTATAACCAACTGACCTCCCAACTTGTACAACCAACTGACCTCCCCAACTTGTACAACCAACTGACCTCCCCAACTTGTACAACCAACTGACCTCCCCAACTTGTATAACCTGACATGCCCCAACTTGTATGACCTGACATGCCCCAACTTGTATGACCTGACATGCCCCAACTTGTATAACCAACTGACCTCCCCAACTTGTATGACCTGACATGCCCCAACTTGTATGACCTGACATGCCCCAACTTGTATAACCAACTGACCTCCCCAACTTGTATAACCAACTGACCACCCAACTTGTATAACCAACTGACCTCCCCAACTTGTATAACCAACTGACCTCCCCAACTTGTATGACCTGACTTGTACAACCAACTGACCTCCCCAACTTGTACAACCAACTGACCTCCCCAACTTGTATAACCAACTGACCTCCCCAACTTGTATGACCTGACATGCCCCAACTTGTATAACCAACTGACCTCCCCAACTTGTATGACCTGACATGCCCCAACTTGTATAACCAACTGACCTCCCCAACTTGTATGACCTGACATGCCCCAACTTGTACAACCAACTGACCTCCCCAACTTGTACAACCAACTGACCTCCCCAACTTGTACAACCAACTGACCTCCCCAACTTGTATGACCTGACATGCCCCAACTTGTACAACCAACTGACCTCCCCAACTTGTATGACCTGACATGCCCCAACTTGTACAACCAACTGACCTCCCCAACTTGTACAACCAACTGACCTCCCCAACTTGTACAACCAACTGACCTCCCCAACTTGTATGACCTGACATGCCCCAACTTGTACAACCAACTGACCACCCCAACTTGTACAACCAACTGACCTCCCCAACTTGTACAACCAACTGACCTCCCCCAACATGTATGACCTGACATGCCCCAACCTGTACAACCAACTGACCTCCCCAACTTGTACAACCAACTGACCTCCCCAACTTGTATAACCTGACATGCCCCAACTTGTATGACCTGACATGCCCCAACTTGTATGACCTGACATGCCCCAACTTGTATAACCAACTGACCTCCCCAACTTGTATGACCTGACATGCCCCAACTTGTATGACCTGACATGCCCCAACTTGTATAACCAACTGACCTCCCCAACTTGTATAACCAACTGACCACCCAACTTGTATAACCAACTGACCTCCCCAACTTGTATAACCAACTGACCTCCCCAACTTGTATGACCTGACTTGTACAACCAACTGACCTCCCCAACTTGTACAACCAACTGACCTCCCCAACTTGTATAACCAACTGACCTCCCCAACTTGTATGACCTGACATGCCCCAACTTGTATAACCAACTGACCTCCCCAACTTGTATGACCTGACATGCCCCAACTTGTATAACCAACTGACCTCCCCAACTTGTATGACCTGACATGCCCCAACTTGTACAACCAACTGACCTCCCCAACTTGTACAACCAACTGACCTCCCCAACTTGTACAACCAACTGACCTCCCCAACTTGTATGACCTGACATGCCCCAACTTGTACAACCAACTGACCACCCCAACTTGTACAACCAACTGACCTCCCCAACTTGTACAACCAACTGACCTCCCCAACTTGTATAACCAACTGACCTCCCCCAACATGTATGACCTGACATGCCCCAACCTGTACAACCAACTGACCTGGTCTCATTGACAACACGAATCCTGGGCCCCTCCGGCACCACTAGCCCTAGGTGGGCCCTAATCCTACAGTTGGTTGGTCCAACATGGGGCCACACGTGGATGCCAGGATGCATGACGGAAAACTTCACCTGAAAGTCAAAGTTAAACTTGGGGTTAAACTAGAAGTCTTTAGTTAAACTTGGGGTTAAACCAGAAGTCTTTAGTTAAACTTGGGGTTAAACCAGAAGTCTTTGGTTAAAACTTGGGGTTAAACCAGAAGTCTTTAGTTAAACTTGGGGTTAAACCAGAAGTCTTTAGTTAAACTTGGGGTTAAACCAGAAGTCTTTGGTTAAAACTTGGGGTTAAACCAGAAGTCTTTAGTTAAACTTGGGGTTAAACCACAAGTCTTTAGTTAAACTTGGGGTTAAACCAGAAGTCTTTAGTTAAACTTGGGGTTAAACCAGAAGTCTTTAGTTAAACTTGGGGTTAAACCAGAAGTCTTTAGTTAAACTTGGGGTTAAACCAGAAGTCTTTAGTTAAACTTGGGGTTAAACCAGAAGTCTTTAGTTAAACTTGGGGTTAAACCAGAAGTCTTTAGTTAAACTTAGGGTTAAACCAGAAGTCTTTAGTTAAACTTAGGGTTAAACCAGAAGTCTTTAGTTAAACTTAGGGTTAAACCAGAAGTCTTTAGTTAAACTTAGGGTTAAACCAGAAGTCTTTAGTTAAACTTAGGGTTAAACCAGAAGTCTTTAGTTAAACTTAGGGTTAAACCAGAAGTCTTTAGTTAAACTTAGGGTTAAACCAGAAGTCTTTAGTTAAACTTGGTGTTAACCAAAAGTTTTCAGTTAAACTTGAGGTTAAACAAGACGCCTGCAGTTAAATGTGATAGTAAAACAAAAATGTCCGATCTACCTGGCCTCTTTTGCAGTCTTTGGCGTCTGGAATTTGGTCAATCAGTTCACAGGTCTTTGGGACCTTCATGCAGTTGCCTCCATTTTTACGACCTGGGATTAAATCAATAAGTGCAGTGTGAACATTAAATACAGTTGATTGATGTAGACTACATATTGTGAACATTCAATACAGTTGATTGATGTAGACTGCATATTGTGAACATTAAATACAGTTGATTGATGTAGACTGCATATTGTGAACATTAAATACAGTTGATTGATGTAGACTACATATTGTGAACATTAAATACAGTTGATTGATGTAGACTGCATATTGTGAACATTCAATACAGTTGATTGATGTAGACTGCATATTGTGAACATTAAATACAGTTGATTGATGTAGACTGAATACTGTGAACATTAAATACAGTTGATTGATGTAGACTGCATATTGTGAACATTCAATACAGTTGATTGATGTAGACTGCATATTGTGAACATTCAATACAGTTGATTGATGTAGACTGCATATTGTGAACATTAAATACAGTTGATTGATGTAGACTGAATACTGTGAACATTAAATACAGTTGATTGATGTAGACTACATATTGTGAACATTAAATACAGTTGATTGATGTAGACTGCATATTGTGGATGATAATTAAAATCTTTATCCTGCTGCAGTCATCAATTAAACTCATAAAACAAAACAACACTGTCAAACCTTGCTGGAAGAGTGTGAACTGCTTCCAGTCCCCTTTGTCCCTCAAATTTTCCTCCTCAGGCACAAAGGATCCACTCTTTGGGTCGAGCTGGGCCAGACCTTCATCCCTGATCACCTGCCAGTTGTCCTGGAGGAGCTGAGACAGGAAAAACAAACTCACTAGGGGAAGCTACTCTAACTGTAGATCAACTCACTAGGGGCAGCTACTCTAACTGTAGATAAACTCACTAGGGGCAGCTACTCTAACTGTAGATCAACTCACTAGGGGCAGCTACTCTAACTGTAGATCAACTCATTAGGGGCAGCTACTCTAACTGTAGATCAACTCACTAGGGGCAGCTACTCTACAGGTGTAGATCAACTCACTAGGGGCAGCTACTCTACAGGTGTAGATCAACTCACTAGGGGCAGCTACTCTAACTGTAGATCAACTCACTAGGGGCAGCTACTCTAACTGTAGATCAACTCACTAGGGGCAGCTACTCTAACTGGTGTAGACCAACTCACTAGGGGCAGCTACTCTAATGTAGATCAACTCACTAGGGGCAGCTACTCTAATGTAGATCAACTTACTAGGGGCAGCTACTCTAACTGTAGATCACTAGGGGCAGCAACTCTCGGTAGATCTACTCACTAGGGGCAGCTACTCTAACTGTAGATCACTAGGGGAAGCTACTATAACTGTACATCAACTCACTAGGGGCAGCTACTCTAACTGTAGATCAACTCACTAGGGGCAGCTACTCTAACTGGTGTAGATCAACTCACTAGGGGCAGCTACTCTAACAGGTGTAGATCAACTCACTAGGGGCAGCTACTCTAACTGGTGTAGACCAACTCACTAGGGGCAGCTACTCTAATGTAGATCAACTCACTAGGGGCAGCTACTCTAATGTAGATCAACTTACTAGGGGCAGCTACTCTAACTGTAGATCACTAGGGGCAGCAACTCTAACTGTAGATCAACTCACTAGGGGCAGCTACTCTAACTGTAGATCACTAGGGGAAGCTACTATAACTGTACATCAACTCACTAGGGGCAGCTACTCTAACTGTAGATCAACTCACTAGGGGCAGCTACTCTAACTGTAGATCAACTCACTAGGGGCAGCTACTCTACAGGTGTAGATCAACTCACTAGGGGCAGCTACTCTACAGGTGTAGATCAACTCACTAGGGGCAGCTACTCTAACTGTAGATCAACTCACTAGGGGCAGCTACTCTAACTGTAGATCAACTCACTAGGGGCAGCTACTCTAACTGGTGTAGACCAACTCACTAGGGGCAGCAACTCTAACTGTAGATCAACTCACTAGGGGCAGCTACTCTAACTGTAGATCACTAGGGGAAGCTACTATAACTGTACATCAACTCACTAGGGGCAGCTACTCTAACTGTAGATCAACTCACTAGGGGCAGCTACTCTAACTGGTGTAGATCAACTCACTAGGGGCAGCTACTCTAACTGGTGTAGACCAACTCACTAGGGGCAGCTACTCTAATGTAGATCAACTCACTAGGGGCAGCTACTCTAATGTAGATCAACTTACTAGGGGCAGCTACTCTAACTGTAGATCACTAGGGGCAGCAACTCTAACTGTAGATCAACTCACTAGGGGCAGCTACTCTAACTGTAGATCACTAGGGGAAGCTACTATAACTGTACATCAACTCACTAGGGGCAGCTACTCTAACTGTAGATCAACTCACTAGGGGCAGCTACTCTAACTGTAGATCAACTCACTAGGGGCAGCTACTCTACAGGTGTAGATCAACTCACTAGGGGCAGCTACTCTACAGGTGTAGATCAACTCACTAGGGGCAGCTACTCTAACTGTAGATCAACTCACTAGGGGCAGCTACTCTAACTGTAGATCAACTTACTAGGGGCAGCTACTCTAACTGTAGATCACTAGGGGAAGCTACTATAACTGTACATCAACTCACTAGGGGCAGCTACTCTAACTGTAGATCAACTCACTAGGGGCAGCTACTCTAACTGGTGTAGATCAACTCACTAGGGGCAGCTACTCTAACAGGTGTAGATCAACTCACTAGGGGCAGCTACTCTAACTGGTGTAGACCAACTCACTAGGGGCAGCTACTCTAATGTAGATCAACTCACTAGGGGCAGCTACTCTAATGTAAATCAACTTACTAGGGGCAGCTACTCTAACTGTAGATCACTAGGGGCAGCAACTCTAACTGTAGATCAACTCACTAGGGGCAGCTACTCTAACTGTAGATCACTAGGGGAAGCTACTATAACTGTACATCAACTCACTAGGGGCAGCTACTCTAACTGTAGATCAACTCACTAGGGGCAGCTACTCTAACTGTAGATCAACTCACTAGGGGCAGCTACTCTACAGGTGTAGATCAACTCACTAGGGGCAGCTACTCTACAGGTGTAGATCAACTCACTAGGGGCAGCTACTCTACAGGTGTAGATCAACTCACTAGGGGCAGCTACTCTAACTGTAGATCAACTCACTAGGGGCAGCTACTCTAACTGTAGATCAACTCACTAGGGGCAGCTACTCTAACTGGTGTAGACCAACTCACTAGGGGCAGCTACTCTAATGTAGATCAACTCACTAGGGGCAGCTACTCTAATGTAGATCAACTTACTAGGGGCAGCTACTCTAACTGTAGATCACTAGGGGCAGCAACTCTAACTGTAGATCAACTCACTAGGGGCAGCTACTCTAACAGATGTAGATCAACTCACTAGGGGCAGCTACTCTAACAGGTGTAGATCAACTCACTAGGGGCGGCTATCTAGTTAACCAACCTTCAAGTAATGTTTATATCCTGTCTGTTCCTCAGTCCACCAGGGTCTTGAGGTCAGACCTTTCACATTGTACAGTGAGCGCTGCCATTCTGAGAGAAACAGACCTTTCTTCTCACCTTCTTTGAAGTAATGACGTGCCTGTATAAACCAATATGCTAGTTATAGTGGATTGGTACTTGTAACCTTGGGATCACATAATGACTCAAATATTTTAATCTTACACTTTGCTCGCCTATCAAATAACGACTGAGATATTTTAGTCTTAAACTTTGCTCACCATTCAAATAATGACTAAGATATTTCATGTTCCACTTTGCTCTCCTATCAAAAAATGACTGAAATATTTCATGTACCACTTTGCTCTCCTATCAAAAAATGACTGAAATATTTCATGTACCACTTTGCTCTCCTATCAAAAAATGACTGAAATATTTCATGTACCACTTTGCTCTCCTATCAAAAAATGACTGAAATATTTCATATACCACTTTGCTCTCCTATCAAATAATGACTGACATATTTCATAAAATAATGACTGAGATAATTTTGATGAAACTCACTTCTGCTTCTTGCCCCAGCCTCTGCAGCGAGTCCCCCAGATGAAGATAAAATCTCCCATCTTCAGTTCCTGGCGCCTTGGAGTCAATTCCTTCCTTCAGCATATCAATAGCCAGGGGAAGGTTGTTGTCATCAACTTTATAAATAAATCCCAGGTGGGCCTTTGCAAATCCATTCTGAGGATCTTTCCTTAAAACCTGGAACAACATTTCATGTGTACAATAGGAAATAGCAGAATGAAACACTTTATATAAACAAAGGAAAAATAAACAACCATAGAATAAAATGTTTCACTAACCTCTATAAATATATAATACAGGATACAGACTCAAATAAGAAAGGATAAATTACTCACCTTACCACCACAGATAGTAATGAATAAATAGCCAATTATAAGAAACAAAGAATTAATTGTTCCCCTTACCCCATAGATTGTATAGGTTAAATAGCCAAGAAAAGTAACAACGAATGAATTATTGCCCTTACCTCCATAGATTGTATAGGTTAAATAGCCAAGAAAAGTAACAACGAATGAATTGTTCCCCTTACCTCCATGAATACTTCTCTTGCCCTATCATTCTGTCCAATCATCATGTGACTCACACCAAAAGCATTTTTAATCTCCAGATTCTTTGGGAACTTTTGACTGAGTGCCTTGTAGGTTTTAACAGCCTGAGCTCCCCACCCTGTGGACACAAGAATCATCTCCAGGGTCAAACTTTTTTAACAGTCTGAGCCCCCCCCCCCCCCCCCCCCCCACCCCAGCCTGTGGACACAAGAATCATCTCCAGGGTCAAACTTTTTTACATGAATTTCAGTTGTTCTTATCAACTCACGAGAGTTGTGATGCAGTACAATCAAAGTGATGAATGGACTTTTCACTTTGATTGTACTGAGGAAAGCTGGATAAAAGCTTGGAGCTGATTGTACATTTGTATTTGACATTCACTCCATGAATAGGTTATTTTTTAACAAAGTCTAGATTCAAACATAAAAAATGTGTAAAAATTGGTTCACCTCTAAACTGCTGTCTGTCAGCCAGCTTACGGGCAGCCATAATATGAAGATCATCTGGAACTTTCTCCAACATCAAGACACGCTCCAGATACTTGATGGAGTGCTCCAGGTAGTCATTGCTCATGTACTTAAACCCTAACTTGTCCAGAGTTAGACCTTTACCATAGTAGGCTCTAGGGCTGGCAGTGTGGACACGCAGAATTTCGTCATACTTCTCCACAGCTTTTTCATAGTTTTCCTACAGAGGAAAAAAACCACACAAGTTGACCTTGTCTGACATGTCAAAATTAAAGGCAGATATCAGGAGAATGTTTATGCTTACAATAGATTTATACAGCAGATTTATTAATCACTGGCACCTAGTTAGATCAAATATGTATGTTTTAGATTCCAGCAGTAAATAATTAAAATTGAATTATCCAATTTTGGGCTATAAGTATATTTAATTGAAATTTTATAAAACAATCATCAAAACCTACAAAAAAATTAAATTCTTACTTCATTAAACAGTGCATCAGCTTCATCTAAATCTTTATGAATTACAAAGTCTATTTCATTGGTGATCGAAGCAAATTTATAATTTTTTATATCCACTGCATCCTCAACCTTTTCTTTAATCTCATCAGTTGCAGTCTCTTGTTTCATAGCCTCAGGTTTTACTGCATCAGCAGCCTCTGTTTGAGCTGGTTTTTCATCCTTTGGTGCCTCAGTGGGCTTTGCTACTTTGTCATCTTTGAGTGCCTCGGTGGGCTTTGCTGCTTTTTCATCCTTTTTAGTTTCAGTAGACTGTTCCTTTGTTACATTTTCATCCTTTTTAGTTTCAGTGGGCTTTGCTACTTTTTCATCCTTTTGTGCCTCAGTGGGTTGTTCCTTTGATACTTTTTCATCCTTTTTAGTTTCAGTGGGCTGTTCCTTTGCTACTTTTTCATCCTTTTTAGTCTCAGTGGGCTGTTCCTTTGCTAATTTTTCATCCTTTTTAGTTTCAGTGGGCTTTGCAACTTTTTCATCCTTTTGTGCCTCAGTGGGCTTTGCTACATTTTCATCCTTTTTAGTTTCAGTGGGCTTTGCTACTTTTTCATCCTTTTGTGCCTCAGTGGGTTGTTCCTTTGATACTTTTTCATCCTTTTTAGTTTCAGTGGGCTGTTCCTTTGCTACTTTTTCATCCTTTTTAGTTTCAGTGGGCTTAGCAACTTTTTCATCCTTTTGTGCCTCAGTGGGGGTTGCTACTTTTTCATCCTTTTTAGTTTCAGTGGGCTTTGTTACTTTTTCATCCTTTTGTGCCTCTGTGGGCTTTGCTACTTTTTCATCCTTTTTAGTCTCAGTGGGCTGTTCCTTTGCTACTTTTTCATCCTTTTTAGTTTCAGTGGGCTTTGCAACTTTTTCATCCTTTTGTGCCTCAGTGGGTGTTGCTACTTTTTCATCCTTTTTAGTTTCAGTGGGCTTTGTTACTTTTTCATCCTTTTGTGCCTCTGTGGGCTTTGCTACTTTTTCATCCTTTTTAGTCTCAGTGGGCTGTTCCTTTGTTGCTTTTTCTTCCTTTTTAGTCTCAGTGGGCTTTGCTACTTTTTCATCCTTTTTAGTTTCAGTGGGCTGTTCCTTTGCTACTTTTTCATCCTTTTTAGCTTCAGTGGGCTTTGCTATTTTTTCATCCTTTTTAGTCTCAGTGGGCTGTTCCTTTGTTGCTTTTTCTTCCTTTTTAGTCTCAGTGGGCTTTGCTACTTTTTCATCCTTTTTAGTTTCAGTGGGCTGTTCCTTTGCAACTTTTTCATCCTTTTTAGTCTCAGTGGGCTGTTCCTTTGCTACTTTTTCATCTTTTTTAGTCTCAGTGGGCTGTTCCTTTGCTACTTTTTCATCCTTTTTAGTTTCAGTGGGCTTTGCTACATTTTCATCCTTTTTAGTCTCAGTGGGCTGTTCCTTTGCTACTTTTTCATCCTTTTTAGTCTCAGTGGGCTTTGCTACTTTTTCATCCTTTTTAGTCTCAGTGGGCTTTGCTACTTTTTCATCCTTTTTAGTCTCAGTGGGCTTTGCTACTTTTTCATCCTTTTTAGTCTCAGTGGGCTGTTCCTTTGTTGCTTTTTCTTCCTTTTTAGTCTCAGTGGGCTTTGCTACTTTTTCATCCTTTTTAGTTTCAGTGGGCTGTTCCTTTGCTACTTTTTCATCCTTTTTAGTTTCAGTGGGCTTTGCTACTTTTTCTTCCTTTTTAGTCTCAGTGGGCTTTGTTATTTTCCCATCCTTTTCCTTCTCTTTTAAAATTTCATCTTTCCTGTCTATCTGTTGAGTTTGCCCTTTGTCCTCCTTTGATTGTGCCTTGACCTTAAGTTCAGGGGTTGGTTCATCAGACTGACCAAACAGATCTCTCAGCTGCACTTCAAGAGCATTGATATCTATGCCATTCTTCATTATGTGCTCTGCAATCAAAACAGAAAATATAAATTCTATTTTAAAAAAAAACAGTCTAGTTGAAATTTTTTAAACAAAGGACCCAAAACCACTAAGCTGGTGAGAATGTTTTGTTTGTTTTTATAAAAAACTAAGTCACTTTACTTAGGTGTCCCAATTATTTTTGTTATGTGATAAACATTGCTTAAAGCTAGCTCGATACACAGATCAGTAGCAGCAATACCCAACCAGTCGTACCCCACCAGTAACAATGTGCTGCATGCCAACCTCCTTGAGGTGACTCTAATAGATGTCACATAGGGCCAGGTGATCACTAGCCAATGGGGGGGGGGGGGGGGGAAGGGGGGTTTCTAAGTTATGCAAGGGTGGAGGGGTTTCAAAATTATGCAAGGGTGGAGGGGTTTCTAAGTTATGCAAGGGTGGAGGGGTTTCAAAATTATGCAAGGGTGGAGGGGTTTCTAAGTTATGCAAGGGTGGAGGGGTTTCAAAATTATGCAAGGGTGGAGGGGTTTTTAAGTTATGCAAGGGGGGAGGGGTTTCAAAATTATGCAAGGGGGGAGGGGTTTCTAAGTTATGCAAGGGTGGAGGGGTTTCAAAATTATGCAAGGGTGGAGGGGTTTCTAAGTTATGCAAGGGTGGAGGGGTTTCAAAATTATGCAAGGGTGGAGGGGTTTTTAAGTTATGCAAGGGGGGAGGGGTTTCAAAATTATGCAAGGGGGGAGGGGTTTCTAAGTTATGCAAGGGTGGAGGGGTTTCAAAATTATGCAAGGGTGGAGGGGTTTCTAAGTTATGCAAGGGTGGAGGGGTTTCAAAATTATGCAAGGGTGGAGGGGTTTTTAAGTTATGCAAGGGGGGAGGGGTTTCAAAATTATGCAAGGGGGGAGGGGTTTCTAAGTTATGCAAGGGTGGAGGGGTTTCAAAATTATGCAAGGGTGGAGGGGTTTCTAAGTTATGCAAGGGTGGAGGGGTTTCAAAATTATGCAAGGGTGGAGGGGTTTCTAAGTTATGCAAGGGTGGAGGGGTTTCAAAATTATGCAAGGGTGGAGGGGTTTTTAAGTTATGCAAGGGGGGAGGGGTTTCAAAATTATGCAAGGGGGGAGGGGTTTCTAAGTTATGCAAGGGTGGAGGGGTTTCAAAATTATGCAAGGGTGGAGGGGTTTCTAAGTTATGCAAGGGTGGAGGGGTTTCAAAATTATGCAAGGGTGGAGGGGTTTTTAAGTTATGCAAGGGGGGAGGAGTTTTCAAAGTTATGCAAGGGGGGGAGGGGTTTCTAAGTTATGCAAGGGTGGAGGGGTTTCTAAGTTATGCAAGGGGGGAGGGGTTTCTAAGTTATGCAAGGGTGGAGGGGTTTCTAAGTTATGCAAGGGGGGAGGGGTTTCTAAGTTATGCAAGGGGGGGAGGGGTTTCTAAGTTATGCAAGGAGTGGGGGGGGGGGGGAGCGGGCTAGCTCCAGTAGACAAAGACCTGTAGTTTTGAATGATCAGCACAAGTCAACATGTTTACCTCAAGAAATATTTTTTTAAAAACCTGTGATACTTACCCACGCCATCCTGAACCTGATCTCTATAGACAACCCCAAACACACAAATGCCCACAGCAAGGATGGCCAGAAAATAACTACAGTACGGTGTAGATTTTTGCTTGGACCTGTGTCAAGGACAACAACTTACACATGACTTGATCATATTTGATTTACAACTTCACTCATTTAAATTATTTTGTAAAAATAATACGCTATTGAGTTTTTGTAGAGGTAAAATAGTTTTTTAAATTTATAATTATTATTAATGGCATTAGTTTTCAGTAGTGCTAAAATCTAAAATAACACACCAGCTTCAATTAGCTTCATACACAAATTGACCTAAGTTTTTTTTATTAGCAAAACTTTGTAATGTGAAACATGATGTTGTGCCAGACATGAAATGACCTAGCAACGCCACTGTTGACCATACCGTGATCTGCTGGACTGCTGCTGGCCTGATGGGGTTTGTTTTGTCTTGCTGGAACTGGGAGGGGCCTGTTGTTTTTTGGGTGGGGCCTCCTCGGCTTTCTTCTCAGATCCATTTTGTTTGCTGTCATCTCTTGCTCGTTTCACAGGAACATCTTAAGAGTACATAGAAGTCAAGTATATTTATTCCAAGTAATCAAAGCTGGTTAGTTTCTATTAAAACCATGAATGTTTATATGTAAGCTATTCTGGACATTATATGTTTCAAAATGTAATTCTGTCATAATTGGTAAAACATCAATGTAAGAAATGTTATATAACACATAAGCCTATATACCTTTATTTTTATCCTGAGATTTCGCTTTCTTTGTCTTAGTCATTTCAGCTGATCAAAGCTCTACCAATAAATAGGATAAACAAATAATTAGAGGGGCCAACAGCCATGAGAAAAATTATAAATAATTACAGACTATAACGACATTTATATAACATGGCTAAGTCTACATATGTTTATGTACTGTATTATTTCTTTTTTTATTTGCTAATAAAGCTATTCTATTAAGTATTAATTCATAAATTCTTCTCCTAATTGTAGTTAGCCTAACAGTGACAGTTATGTACTATATGCAGGTACAAGAAATAAAGCATGGGCTTAGAATGTCTTATAAATCATCCAAATAATTATCTTTTAATCCAATGACAATTTTAGTTGAAGTGTGTCTGAGTTATTCTAGATCTAGTAGTAAATTATAAGCCTAAAATTATTAACCGTAACTTAAATATGCTTACAGGATTAGGTAGATTTTCACTGGTGTTAGTAGATTTTTGTTTATTTAGCCTAATAACATGTATAATTTATATCAATATTAACATTTCAATGAATTGACCCTAATGAAAATAAATGGATGTGGCTCAGTTATTAATTATTAAGCCTAATAAATTAATAATTATAGGCCTAGGCCTAATCATTAGGCCTAGATTTTGACATTTTGGGCCAAATTTATTAGGCCTGATGAAATTTAATCTGACGGGGGAGGGGGGAGTACTTTAAAGTTTAGTAGATTCAATTCATCAAATTGTTTAGTTTAGGCCTGACTAATCCAATCACAAATCTTATCAGTAGGCTAGCCGGCTAAACTTAATTAATAATTTTAAAATTTAATAATAGGCCTAATAAACAAACTTCATTAAGCCCCTTTACTAAGTTTAAAATTTAAATTAATCCTCTAAATTTAACAGCATATTTATCATGTTTGAATGGGATGGTGGGGTGTGATGTAGTCGAACTATAGTCACAAAGTCAAAGACGACAAAGAATGCACTTCAGACTTCAGTTCAGTCTTCAGTGCAGGAATCATCAGGAATGGTCAAACAAATTCAACCTCCGAATGCTAACCTAACCCACACATCAGTATACAAAGTATATTGTCGTAGAGCGCTTACATATAATTAACAATTATAGGCCCTATATAAAATCGAGAATAGATGAAATATGTATTATGTAATGTATTTGTGTAGGCACTACTTGACGGCGATGTATCAAAACTAAAAATATCGCCGGCTATAGAGTTCCGACTTTTGTTTACGTTGCAAGTGGAAGTAGAATGGCCCGGTAGTGTATCACAAAACCGATTCACCTAACATATACAGATAATTATGGTCCAAAATTATATATCCTAATATATAAAACGCCATGTGCGCTCTTCTCTCTCTCTCTCTCTCTGTCTGTCCGCAAAATATTTTCGCCGGACATCACGTCAGAAACGACAGCGATACATGGAGAACTTTATACGGACTTTTGTTGAAAATAATATGTTAGATGTTTTAAATGTATAACCACAATTTTATTTAAAGAAGAAAAATAAAAATATAAGGCGTATTCGAATGTAGAGAAACAGTATTATTTATGCAACCGGAAAAGCATTAATAAATGTGAAAAAGAACGCATAAAACTGTGACGTCACTATTGCTTATACATTAACTAATGACGTCATCTGCCGTGTTTCATTCAAATTTGATTTAGAAATGTATACAATACAATTTTTCCGGCCTAAACTCATAAAATTTATTTTATGTATTTGGATTCTAGATCTAGAGATTCTAGATCTAGACTAAATCTAAATCTAAATCTACGCAATAACTAGATCTAGACGTAGACGCTAAGATCTAGATTTAGACTCTAACTTCTCTAAAATCAATTCCAAAAATCAATTTCTATATTAGGACTAAACTATTTCAAGACTTATTTATTTTATACAAAATCTTTGTTTGGAACTGGCTAATTTGGGATAAAAAAATTAATTTGAAAGAATAGGCATATTCGCGTAAGTTAAGATTTTAAAATACGTGTTTCATTCTCCGTATATTATAAGGTGCCTAAATAGCGGAGATGTTAGTGTACATTAAACCACGCAGGTGGTGCGGCTTCGAGACACACCAAGTCAACTTGGTTAATGTATTTTTTTTATTATGCTCGGGCTAAACTTAAAAAAAAAATTCTTTTAGGAATCTAGATCTAGATTGTCGGGTGTCCGATAGGGCACTTCCCGGCGCCGCAGGCGCTTCAAATTTGGCTTGGGGCGACAGAACACGGGGGCCAGTTGGCCGAAAAGTCTACGATGAGGGGGTCAAAACTGACCTCGACTGACCGGTACCTTATATGAGCTATAAATCGAAAAAAAATGTCCACGGAGGAACCTCTTCATAACTCTTGAGGTCGTAGACCGACCCTCGGGCGAATTAATTAAGCATTCAAATTCTCAATGTTTTCGAAAGCCTAAGCGAAGCTGGGCAGCATGCCTAGTCTATTAATATAGGCCCTATACGAAAAGCAAGTAACGTGTGCATCTTTTTAATAAAAGCTAAAGTTTTCAAATTACTTTAGCCTTAAACTTGTATTGTGTTGTTTATTTAAAGAAACGATGTTCGTTAAAAATTCCCCTATAATAAAAATGCATAGTAAGATATTACAAAAATCCAACTATTGCCTTAGAAATGAGATAAGAAATGTGCTTGATATTAGAACTGTATGCGTATTCATCTCTCACCTGTAAAACTATATTTTTTGTACCGCGTAAACCTACTAGTAGTCAGTGCCAAACATGGTGGTACGCAGACCTACCGGAGAATCAACATCCAGTCGATTACCTTTGTTACATTGTTATCGATTTTTCTTGTTAGCCTATAGATTATTCATCAATAAGCAATACCAATCAAGTAAAAAGACCCCTCGCTCGGCGTGTGTACAACGCTGCACGGAGACGAACGTCGGAATTGGGGCCCGGTTTTTGTGAGCGTCGTAACACAGGTGAAGGGTAGGATTAACACAAATCTAAGCTTATAATACGCTTAGCGCTGGCGCGTACTGAAGATCGTTTAATCTCTAAACATAGGCTTATTAGTTTAATACTTTAAACGCGTACAAAGATACTAAATGACTTTAATATGTTAGCTAGAATATAACAACTATTCAGTGTTACGGTGTAAACTAACAAAGTGACCGTACTGCGTTAAGCTACGGAAGTTTTTTAATAGAATGTGACAATAATGGCACTCGCTCAGCTACCAAGAGAGAAAATTCGGGTCGTTATTAAAGGAAGACACAGTCAGGGGCGTAGCGAGGGGGGGCGGGGGGTGCGGACCGCACCGGGTGACACCATTTAGGGGGGTGACACCAAGGCAAAAAATAGCAAAATATATAGAGAAAAACTCGAGGGGGGGGTGCAAATAGAAAGTTTGAGGGGGGGGGGGTGCAAATCGAAAGTTTGAGGGGGGGGGGTGCAAATCGAAAATTTGAAAGTTTGTCCCTGGGAAGGGTCTCTATGCCTCTGGGGGGGGGGTGACACCATTAAGTGCCGCACCGGGTGACACCCGACCTCGCTACGCCACTGGACACAGTTGCTAGAGATTCCGCGTATTGGCTTAAAAGTCGTCACAATTTTTTACCCCCACCCCTATCTTTACACTTGGTCACGTAAGTCAGGACCCCCCTCCCCCTTAAAGAAAGGGCGTAGCCAAGTTTTTGTGTAGGGGAGCGGCGAGAGTACAAAAAAGCGCCAGCATATTATATAGACCGACGTACTTGCTTGCATTCATCTAGGCCAGGGGTCTCCAAACTTTTCAGTCCGAGGACCGCATTAACTATCAAATTTCAGTTCGGGGGCCAGTTAGTTCCAGACATGTCTTTGATTTTTCTGGGCAAAGTTCCTCAGCCATCAACAACAAACGTTTTTTCCGTGAACAAAAATATCTCCGCGGGCCGGATGAGAGGACATCGTAGTTTGGAGACCCCTGATCTAGGCCTATATTAAATTTAGGGCCAGAGAATCAGTCAGGGACGGAACATCTGTTAGCGTGACCGGAGCAGCTACCAAGCTTAAGACAATACCGAGAAATATTCTCAACATTTTAAATCCCGTTTCAATCTTTGATGCCGATACATTTCTTAAAAATAACTCTCTACACTCTAAACTAAATGTAAAGATTTTTTTCTCCACTTCAGCAGCGCCTGCGTTTGTTTTTAAATTAACTTTGATCTATTAAAAACATAGTACCGAATTTAGGCAAGGAAAACACAACTATAAAAAGTGTAAAATTTCATATTTATCTAGTCTACTATTAAACAGTAGTTACTTTTGTTTTAATGTGTTTAGTAACTCAATTATTTAGATCTATAGCTTAAATAACTACCATTTCATTTTTCAAAAAAAATGATTACTTTCTCGCAGGTGAAGTTTAGTAAACGACGTTTTACTTTTAATAAGAAAAACTTAGTTTTACAAACTTGTATCAATGTATGTGTGTAAATATTTATTAACGCGATAACTGAGCGCCGTTTAAAGTTTAAGCTAGGTAGATTCTAGATCTAGACGAAATTTCACATATAAGTATTGCGTTGTATGCGCAGGTTTCGACCAAATTTTTAACGATTTCCGATAGCCGGAAGTACTTCTTTATTTTATTTCGGTGTGACCATAACAACTTGAGTACTTTTCCATAGAAGAAATTTCATAATACTCTATAAGTATAAAATTTTATACTTGAATTCCTCTCAAACTTCGAATAACTTTCGATAACCGGAAGTACTAATTTCTGGTTTCTAAAATATCGATAATTTGATTACCCCTCCATGACACACTGTCTTCCCAGCCTCCCCGCGATTACCCCCTCCTCCTCCCCACCCCACCCACTGGCCACCTCTTTTGCTTCCTTCATGTATACTTTGTGAGTTAACATTGTAACTGGGGTGTTTTATTTCATTGATTTTCTGTCTTCATAGTGTTTGCTTCAGGGTTAACGCTATCAAGGATACGTGAATTGTGGTGTGCGATAATTCACTGAATGTATTGATGTGCTACGTCATATACATAGTGGTATGCAATAACTCACTGAATGTATTGATGTGCTAAAGTACATTGTGGTATGCAATAATTCACTGAATGTATTGATGTGCTAAAGTACATTGTGGTTTGCAATAATTCACTGAATGTAATGATGTGCTAAAGTACATTGTGGTTTGCAATAATTCACTGAATGTATTGATGTGCTACGTCATATACATAGTGGTATGCAATAATTCACTGAATGTATTGATGTGCTAAAGTACATAGTGGTATGCAATAATTCACTGAATGTATTAATGTGTTAAAGTACATAGTAGTGTGCAATAATTCACTGAATGTATTGATGTGCTAAAGTACATAGTGGTATGCAATAATTCACTGAATGTATTAATGTGTTAAAGTACATAGTAGTGTGCAATAATTCACTGAATGTATTGATGTGCTAAAGTACATAGTGGTGTGAAATAATTCACTGAATGTATTGATGTGCTAAAGTACATAGTGGTGTGAAATAATTCACTGAATGTATTGATGTGCTAAAGTACATTGTGGTGTGCAATAATTCACTGAATGTATCGATATGATGCGTCATGTAGCCTACAATGTATGTGACATGATTCTCTGCTTCATGTAACCTACAATGTATGTACCATAATTCACTGCGTAATACACACACATTATAAAATGTCTTTCCATGTGTTTTAACTGTGTTTTAATGTAGAAAATATCCGCACTTAAACAATCATCGTAACTGTCATCTCTGACATTGTCAGCTGTCATTGTTCTAAAAGTTTATAATGATGGGAGGAGAGGGGGAGGTTCTAAACCTCCGTAACACTCCCTACCCAAGCGTTTGAACCATCCACATAAAGAAAATCTTCTATTTAAATATCTTTCTTATCTATTTAGGCAGCAACTACCTAGTTAAACATATCGCCCCCCTATGGAGATACTGTCATTGAGTTGACGATAAGAAATGCCACGCCTATGGCGTGTCTTATACTGTGTGCATAATTTAAATAGGCCTCTATTCCGCTTGACCTAGATTCAGCAATCGTTTTACAACCTACACGGTCCCCAGCAGACGTTGACATTACACAAGTGTCGGGACAGAATGTGATCAATCTATTTCTAAAGAACCTTCAACTTTTTACTAGCAGGCCGGACTACTGTAAGTTTTCAACTGTTACTTGTGTGTAGAGATCTATGTTATTAATGTTATGTTAGTTGGTTTTCTTTGAATTTAAAAATCCAATAGCTGTTGTTCTTTTCTCAGGTTTACACACGCCTTACATAAATAAAATAAAAATATTTAAAAAACTGAATTTTTTAAGTTACATGTTTTAATTGATTTAGCTCCTCGAAAATTATGTCTATAAGTTTTGTGAAGATTTCAATGGTTATCTTGATCAAAATGTGTATGTCTGTAAGTGCCGATGTAACCAGTGTTTCTTCCAGACTTTTTTCTCCGTGGGGGGAGGGGGGGCGCTTGAAATTTTCGGGGGCAGGGGCGGACACAGTTAAAAGTAGCCTATATATTTTCTATATAAATTCTATTTCATTCGGGGAAGAGATGCCTGGAAGAAACTCTGGGTGTAACACAGAGGCGTAGCTACCCTTCCCGGCGTCCGGGGACAAACGTTCTATTTGCACCCCCCCCCCCTCAGACTTTCAATTTGTACCCCCTCTCAAACTTTCTATTTACACCCAACCCCCCCCCCCCTCAAACTTTCGATTTGCACCCCCCCCCCTCAAATTTTTTATTTGCACTCCCCCCCCCCCTCAAACTTTTAATGTGTTTTTCCAACCCATTTTGCGCCCACTAAGGTCGGCGCCCGGGGACATATTTCCTCCTTCCCCCCCCCCCCCCCCCGCCCCCCCCCCTTGCTACGCCTCTGGTGTAACATAGGCCTATATGTCCGAAGTCCGACCATAATAACTAAATATGCGTGTGCATGTATTCGTTGGCTTTAATATGCATGTCTTTAAGTGTATGCTTCTTGATTATAAATGCGCGTCAAGATGGGTGGGGTGACTACACTATAACCTGGTTAATTTGTGTCCGATATTTGTGTGGTAACCACACCATAAGATGCCTAAGTTGTGTCCGATATTTGTGTGGTGACCACACCATAAGATGGCTATTGTGTGTCCGATATTTGTGTGGTGACCACACCATAAGATGGCTATTGTGTGTCCGATATTTGTGTGGTGACCACACCAAATGATGGCTAATTTGTGTCCGATATTTGTGTGGTGACCACACCAAATGATGGCTAATTTGTGTCCGATATTTGTGTGGTGACCACACCATAAGATGGCTATTGTGTGTCCGATATTTGTGTGGTGACCACACCATAAGATGGCTATTGTGTGTCCGATATTTGTGTGGTGACCACACCATAAGATGCCTAATTTGTGTCCGATATTTGTGTGGTGACCACACCATAACCTGCCTAATTTGTGTCCGATATTTGTGTGGTGACCACACCATAAGATGGCTAATTTGTGTCCGATATTTGTGTGGTGACCACACCATAACCTGCCTAATTTGTGTCCGATATTTGTGTGGTGACCACACCATAAGATGGCTAATTTGTGTCCGATATTTGTGTGGTGACCACACCATAACCTGCCTAATTTGTGTCCGATATTTGTGTGGTGACCACACCATAAGATGGCTAATTTGTGTCCGATATTTGTGTGGTGACCTCACCATAAGATGGCTATTGTGTGTCCGATATTTGTGTGGTGACCTGACTAATTTGTGTCCGATATTTGTGTGGTGACCACACCATAACCTGCCTAATTTGTGTCCGATATTTGTGTGGTGACCACACCATAACCTGCCTAATTTGTGTCCGATATTTGTGTGGTGACCACACCATAAGATGGCTATTGTGTGTCCGATATTTTGTGGTGACCACACCATAAGATGGCTAATTTTTGTCCGATATTTGTGTGGTGACCACACCATAAGATGGCTATTGTGTGTCCGATATTTTGTGGTGACCACACCATAAGATGGCTAATTTGTGTCCGATATTTGTGTGGTGACCTGGCTAATTTGTGTCCGATATTTGTGTGGTGACCACACCATAAGATGCCTAATTTGTGTCCGATATTTGTGTGGTGACCACACCAAATGATGGCTAATTTGTGTCCGATATTTGTGTGGTGACCACACCATAAGATGGCTATTGTGTGTCCGATATTTGTGTGGTGACCACACCATAAGATGGCTATTGTGTGTCCGATATTTGTGTGGTGACCACACCATAACCTGCCTAATTTGTGTCCGATATTTGTGTGGTGACCACACCATAAGATGGCTATTGTGTGTCCGATATTTGTGTGGTGACCACACCATAAGCTGGCTAATTTGTGTCCGATATTTTGTGGTGACCACACCATAAGATGCCTAATTTGTGTCCGATATTTGTGTGATGACCACACCATAAGCTGGCTAATTTGTGTCCGATATTTGTGTGGTGACCTGACTAATTTGTGTCCGATATTTGTGTGGTGACCTGACTAATTTGTGTCCGATATTTGTGTGGTGACCTGACTAATTTGTGTCCGATATTTGTGTGGTGACCACACCATAAGATGGCTAATTTGTGCCCGATATTTGTGTGGTGACCACACCGTAACCTGCCTAATTTGTGTCCGATATTTGTGTGGTGACCTGACTAATTTGTGTCCGATATTTGTGTGGTGACCTGACTAATTTGTGTCCGATATTTGTGTGGTGACCACACCATAAGATGGCTAATTTGTGCCCGATATTTGTGTGGTGACCACACCGTAACCTGCCTAATTTGTGCCCGATATTTGTGTGGTGACCACACCGTAACCTGCCTAATTTGTGTCCGATATTTGTGTGGTGACCACACCGTAACCTGCCTAATTTGTGCCCGATATTTGTGTGGTGACCACACCATAAGATGCCTAATTTGTGTCCGATATTTGTGTGGTGACCACACCATAACCTGCCTAATTTGTGTCCGATATTTGTGTGATGACCACACCATGAGATGCCTAATTTGTGCCCGATATTTGTGTGATGACTACACCGTAACCTGCCTAATTTGTGTCCGATATTTGTGTGGTGACTACACCATAACCTGCCTAATTTGTGTCCGATATTTGTGTGGTGACCACACCATAACCTGCCTAATTTGTGTCCGATATTTGTGTGGTGACTACACCATAACCTGCCTAATTTGTGTCCGATATTTGTGTGGTGACCACACCATAACCTGCCTAATTTGTGTCCGATATTTGTGTGGTGACCACACCATAAGATGCCTAATTTGTGTCCGATATTTGTGTGGTGACCTGGCTAATTTGTGTCCGATATTTGTGTGGTGACCACACCATAAGATGGCTATTGTGTGTCCGATATTTGTGTGGTGACCACACCATAAGATGGCTAATTTGTGTCCGATATTTGTGTGGTGACCACACCATAAGTTGAATAATTTGTGTCCGATATTTGTGTGGTGACCACACCATAAGATGGCTATTGTGTGTCCGATATTTGTGTGGTGACCACACCATAAGATGGCTAATTTGTGTCCGATATTTGTGTGGTGACCACACCATAAGTTGAATAATTTGTGTCCGATATTTGTGTGGTGACCACACCATAAGATGCCTAATTTGTGTCCGATATTTGTGTGGTGACCACACCATAAGATGGCTATTGTGTGTCCGATATTTGTGTGGTGACCACACCATAAGATGGCTAATTTGTGTCCGATATTTGTGTGGTGACCACACCATAAGTTGAATAATTTGTGTCCGATATTTGTGTGGTGACCACACCATAACCTGCCTAATTTGTGTCCGATATTTGTGTGGTGACCACATCATAAGTTGAATAATTTGTGTCCGATATTTGTGTGGTGACCACACCATAAGATGGCTAATTTGTGCCCGATATTTGTGTGGTGACCACATCATAAGATGGCTAATTTGTGTCCGATATTTTGTGGTGACCACACCATAACCTGCCTAATTTGTGTCCGATATTTGTGTGGTGACCACACCATAACCTGCCTAATTTGTGTCCGATATTTGTGTGGTGACCACACCATAAGATGCCTAATTTGTGTCCGATATTTGTGTGGTGACCACACCATAAGATGGCTAATTTGTGTCCGATATTTGTGTGGTGACCACACCATAAGATGGCTAATTTGTGTCCGATATTTGTGTGGTGACCACACCATAAGATGGCTAATTTGTGTCCGATATTTTGTGGTGACCACACCATAACCTGCCTAATTTGTGTCCGATATTTGTGTGGTGACCACACCATAAGATGGCTAATTTGTGTCCGATATTTGTGTGGTGACCACACCATAAGATGCCTAATTTGTGTCCGATATTTGTGTGGTGACCACACCATAAGATGGCTAATTTGTGTCCGATATTTGTGTGGTGACCACACCATAAGATGGCTAATTTGTGTCCGATATTTGTGTGGTGACCACACCATAAGATGCCTAATTTGTGTCCGATATTTGTGTGGTGACCACATCATAAGATGGCTATTGTGTGTCCGATATTTTGTGGTGACCACACCATAAGATGGCTAATTTGTGTCCGATATTTGTGTGGTGACCACACCATAAGATGGCTAATTTGTGTCCGATATTTGTGTGGTGACCACATCATAAGATGGCTAATTTGTGCTCGATATTTGTGTGGTGACCACACCGTAACCTGCCTAATTTGTGCCCGATATTTGTGTGATGACTACACCGTAACCTGCCTAATTTGTGCCCGATATTTGTGTGATGACTACACCGTAACCTGCCTAATTTGTGTCCCATGCTCCACACACTGACTAATGTAAATCTGTATTGATTGAAATCAATCAATTTCGGCTGTTAGACTGTGATAGATAGTCATATGTTCCCCGTTACTCACCATAAGATGGCGTGTGATGTTGAGCTCATATAAGGTGAGCACGTGTAGTGGACACACATTGAGACTTACCTTCTGTTTTACTCACACATTGAGTTCATATAAGGTGCGCACGTGTAGTAGACACACGTTGAGACGTACTCTCTGTTGTACTCACACATTGAGTTTATATAAGGTGAGCACGTGAATTAGGCATAAGCTTGATTAAAACTTATCTTGGGCAGAGTTTATTGA